ATATATTTGCTGGGTTGGGAATCAAACCCAGGACCCTATGCATGCTAAGCAAGTGCCTTAACCATTGGGCTACACTCTCAACCCCTACAAAATAAGTCTTAGAAAGTAGAATCTGCTGGCCATGGTGGCACACACCTTTAATCCCAGAGGCAGAAGCAGGCAGAGACAGGCAGATCTTTGTGAGATCAAGGCCAATCTTATCTACATAGTTTGCAAGTTCCAGGCCAGCTGTGGCTACAGGGAGACCCTGTCTCAAGAAAAAAAAGAAAGGGGAGGAGGGAGGACGGGAAGAAGGGAAGAAGGAAGGGAGGGAGGGAGGGAGGGAGAGGGGGGAGAGAGACAGAGCGGAGTCAGCTTTCTGACTCCATCCACTGGCTTCTCTGCCCTGCATCCAGTGAATATTCCTGAAGCCAGGACACACACCACACCAGGTACCCTTGCTCTCTGTCCTAACCAAACCCGACCTCTGTAGGCTTTCAGGTGATACAAACCAAAAGGGCCCTTGAGCTGTAGTGCCCCTAGTCACAGATGTTTTCAGCTTAAGTGTGTCCTCTAGGGATCTGGCCAGCAAGTCCCTCAGGCAGCTGTTTCACAATTGACTGTAGTAAACAGACACAGGGCCCTAGAAACCAATGCCAAGTTGCTACCCAACTTACATGCTAGGTGACTACCTTCTTCCACCTCTTCCTACAGGAATATGAAGAAAAGTAAGAAAGGAAAGAAGGGATTGGGAGCAGGGTATGTGGCGCATGCAAGAATCCCAGCAGTTGGCAGACAGAGCCAGGATTGCCACAAGTTTGAGGCCAGCCCGATCTACATAGCAAGGCCTAGACCACAGAGCAGGACTCTGTTTCAAAAAGACAAAAAAGGGAAGGGGGATGAGGAGAGCAAAGGAGAAAGAAAAAGAAGAGAAAGAGAAGGGGCTGGAGAGATGGTTCAGGGTTAAGAGTGCCTGCTAGCTGGGCATGGTGGGGCACGCTGTTGGTCCCAGGCAGAGGCAGGTGGATCTCTGTGAGATCGAGGCCAGCCTGGTCTCCATAGTGAGTTCCAGGCCAGCTGAGGCTGCAGGGAGACCCTGTCTCAAAAAACTAGAACAGAAAACAGTGCAAGAGGACTCAAGTTCAGCTCCTAGGACCCACGTTGGGTGGCTCACAACCACCTGTAACTCCAGCTTCAAGGGTCCCAATGCCCTCTTCTGGACTCTGTGGCACCTGCAGTGACATGCACATACCCACATATAAACACATTTTTTAAAATGAAGGAAGAGAAAGAGAAGAGAAA